CATGATTGGCACCATTAAACATCCCTTCCAAATGAAGTTCTCCATTTTGTCTGTAATCATCTTTCTCCTCATCCTCTCATCCGCCATGGAAATCGAAGGCTCGAGGTCTCTTGTAGATAAGCTGATATCTCCTACTAGTTCAATAAGTAACAGGTTGAAGATAGTTAAAGCATACTCTGGTCCTAGTAGGAGAGGGGCTGCCCATGCTTTTCTGCATATCAATCTTTCTTCTCCGAGAGCTCAAGTCAAGAAGTTGACCACGGCTAAAGCATTTTCCGGTCCGGCTAAAGGCGGGGTTGGCCACTAGATCATCAAACTCACCGTGCAGCAATTGCCCCGATGGATCATCACAATTTTATTTTTAATTTGTAAATTTATTCATTTCCATCTTACAAATTATTATTTTTTTGTTTCTGTTGAGAAACATTTGACAGTTGTTTGTGCAGAAATGAGTTTTGTACTGCTTACTCTCTTGGTCTCCTAAAATGTTGTTGGGATGTCAAGCAAGATGTTGTGTTCATGTCCATGTTCAAATCAAATTAAAGTTTTTTTTTCCCCTCAAAACGAGAGAAGGGGAAACAAGGAATGGTGGTTGTGTGCGGGAAACAAGATTTGTGATGGCAAAAGTGAGATTGTAACTTGCTTGTTGGAAATTTAAAAGAATAATTAGAAGTAGGATTACCACTTCACTTTAATTTTAGCATGCATATAATATTTCACAAGTTTCTTTTTGAAGTTTGTTTTGCACTACTTACAAATAAATAATTCTATTAAAGTTATCAATAATACAAGGATTCGCTTGCATTTTGAAAACGTGTTAACTTGCGTGTTGAAATAGTATTACCCATGGCATATACATAAATGGTAGGTGATAAGGTAATATATGGTCACTCACCTTGATATCATATATCAAGGGTGGAAAATAATTAGATGTATTTTCACAGTTTTAATCTCCACCCTTAATATCAAATCTAACCGTGAATGACCATGAATTCTTAGCCATCGGGTGACCAAGTAAACTGGACTCTACACATATATTAAATAATAATCAATACTCTTAATTTGAAATAAAAATTAAAAAATAAAACAATTCATACAATAAGCATAAATGTATTTAATTAAGAATAAATAAATATAATGCTTCCATTTGGGCTGGGCCAATGTACCTTAAAACAACTAACTTGAATTTTGCAATTGGGTTGGGCTCATTACCTAAGTTTTGCAATTGGGTTAGACTTCTATATCTGTTTCCAAATTGGCCTTGGTTCTGTACCCGGTGAAGTCCACTGTGAGTGATAAGGATGTTCTTTGCGCAGCCTGGTGGAAAAAAGATTTAGTGCAGTTTAACAGTTGGTCCGTGAGTTTTCTCCAATATAATGTTTTATATAAAAAATTTAGAGAACTTTAACAAAAAATCACATTTTTACACTAAAAAGTCAATCATAGTATTATTCACTTTACCCTTTATTTTTTCCTTATCGTTAAAACTCAATGTTTTCAAGTTTTTTTTTATTAGTTTTCCTAAAATTTTACCATTTAAGTAGGATTTTCCTACTTAAATAAGCCATAATATAAGGAGAATTAGAGCTTGGATGCATAAGAAGAAGTGAATCTCCTCTAGCCAATATAGATACATCCACATCCACATCCACATTATCAAAGTGAGTTTCAACTTTACGAGGCTTATTCATGGACAACTCATTTTAAGGTTTCAAGGATAAAATGAGACGAGTTGAGTTTCACGGGGCATAATTATAATTAAACCTTGAAAAGCATCAACTTAATTTATTTTCAATGCTTAATACAAATGATATTCTACTTTAATTCAACCTAAACACACAGAAATAAAATGTTGCAAAATAAAGTGCACAAGTGTAAGTGCATCCAATTTAACCGATGTAATTAGGGCGACGTCTGCTTAAATCAGCTTGAAATTAAATAATAAACTCAATTAATGGGAACATAAAAACATAAAAAGATGAAGGAAACCGGATAAATATTCGGTTGACTTGAGGTAGAAAGTTGGGTGGTGCCAGAAACGTCAATTTCATTGACGATACTGGAAAACAAAAAATTGTTGGGAATCTTTGATACAAAAAAACAAGAATAAATTTGGATTTAGACGATAAAGATAAGAGACTGCTTCAAAAAGAAGAGGAGAACGTGGTTTAGTGCCCACCACTCCCCTCTCTCTCTCTCTCTCTCTTTTTTTTACTTTTTCCTTTTGTTGTTTTTTCTGCCTTTTTCTCGACATAGACCCTTTCATAAACGAATTAATTATTTTAAATTATTTTTTATTTAATCTCATTGGACCAATGAAACGGCAGAAAGTGTGGCGGAGGCATTGGCTTCCCCTTCCGCCCCAACGCTCCTTTGAGCTTTTGTTTGAGAAATTTTTTCATTATGACATGAACACAAGTGGTACATCACGTATTTTTATATAAGTGGTGAAATTTTTTAATATTTAAGTTATTAATTTTTTAACACACATATTTCATCATTTGTATAATGACATGTGGTGTTCCACTTCGTGTTCTGATCACACTGAAAAATCTCTCATTTTCCTCAACTTAAGCTTCATCTTTTTCTATAAAATAATATGTGGCCTTCGATTTGATGATCAAGCAATAGTTATGCAGATTTCTATCCTATTTTTTTAATAAAATGATATCCGATTTATTTTATTTTATTTTATGATATTATTTTGTTTCTGCCACTTGATTTGTTTTTAATTTGTTTAATTCAACGATTAGAAAAAAGCGCAATGAGAAAAATGAGAGAATAATTCATTTTCTTATTTTAATCGATTTGTGTGAATGAACTCATGATTGGGTTAATGTTAAAGAAAAGAATGTTAGAGTTTGAGTCTAAATACAAGTTACAGCTTCTCTTATATCTAGCGTTAAAATTAACCAAGGAATTATTAAAAAAGAAACTATGAGTGAATTGAGGAAAAGAACGTAAAAAGATGGATAGTAGTAATAGTCTTCATATCATCTCGTTGCATTCACTTATTTTTCCACTTGCAAATAACATATTTTTATCGTTAAAATTTTGTAAATGGAACCTAAAATCACTTAATTGTCATTTGAAAATCATCTACAAACACTACCCAAATCAGAAATCTTCTAGTCATCTAAATGTATCAAAATAAATCAACAGTTTAAATACTGGTAACATATTTATGATGAACCGTTAATTTATTTTGATTATTCAACAGTTTAAATACTAGGTAACATTTTTATGATGAACTGTTAATTTATTTTGATTATTGAATGACTTTTTTTGTATAGAGAATCTTCGTATAGAGATTAAGAGATTGAGTTGTTCCAATTACAAAAATCTTTATGGTGAAGATACATATTTCAAGTGGGAAAATGAGCTCTAAAAGGAAACGAAAGCATTATTCTTATGGTAAAAGCTATGAAGGTTATTGTAAAAAATATTAGGGTAAATTACATAGTAGTCATTCAAGTTTGAGGTTACAACTCTATACAGCATCTTTAAAACATCTCACTTTCTTACCTCAGTACTATTTTATTTAAAAAAAAATACATCTGTTTCATTTTCCATCCATTGATCCGTTAAGTGCTGACGTGGCTACCAATGTGGCACACCACGTGGCAAAAAAAAAAATTAATTAAAAAAAAACCACCTGAATCTTCTTAAAAAATAAAAAATAAAAAATCTGAAACCCACCTCCAGCAACCCCCCACCCCTGCAAACAAACCTAGAAACCTTACCCCCATTTCCCCCTGAACCACCTCCCTCTCCTCCACTCTCTTCACCTCTCATCCCATAAAAGAACCTAGCAAAGCCCCACCCCACCCCCACCTTCCCTGATCCTTTTCTCTTCTTCACCCCCACCCCCTTTCTCCTTTCTCTCAATTGCAACCCCACCCACCCTCAGCAAACCTAACTCCATCCAGACCACCACCAACCAAGCACTGAAAATTTCAAAATTTGAAGGACAAAATTAAATGCATACCTCGTTGTTGAAGTCGACCGACTCACCGACAAGCAGGATTCAGATGGGGAAAGAAAGGTGAGTGCGAGTTGCAGAGAGGAGAAAATGGTGGGTGGGGTTGTAGATGAAAGAAGGGTGGGGGTCGGGTTCTGGGTGAGCTGGGTTGATAGGGGGTTGGGGGTTCTGAGTGAGGTGCGTTGCACTCGGGGGGGGGGGAATGGGGTGAAGCCGGGAAGGAGGGGAGAGGTGGCGCGGGGGGGGGGGGTGGTGAAGGAAAGGGTTTGGTGGGATAACGAAATCTAGGTTGGGTTTTTTTTTGTGGGGGGTTGCGGGCATATGTAATGGATTTCAATTTTTTTTTTTGAGAAAATTCAGGTAAAAAAAAAAAAAATTGCCACGTGACACTCATTTGGCAGCCACATGGTATAAATGTGGCAACCATGTCAGTATTTAACGGATTAATGAATGAAAAATGTAACAGACGTATTATATTGAAATAAAATAATATTTGAGGTATGAAAGTGAAATGTTTTAAAGATGTTGTATGAGATTGTAATAGACCTCAAATCTGATGGGGTATTATGTAATTTACCCAAAATATTATTATACATATCCTAACAAGATGTCATATTAAAGAAAAAATAATTATTGATTTTTACAACTGTTAGGTGTTTGATTTTCAATTTCACTCATTCATTTCACAAATCATTTAATATTACGCAATATTAAACAAATTTATGTGAATATTATAGTTAAATCCTTAAAATATATATATTGACGAATTAGGACACAGTTGGCCATATGTTTTGGATTAATAAAGTAATTTTAATTTTTGTTGTTAACGCAGGAAACAAGTTAAGGAAGCAGCCAGATAAATAAAAAGGAGAATAGGCAGGTAAAAGATAAGAAAAAGCATAGTAAAAAGAAGTGGGAATATTCGTCAAACGAGACACACAAACCCAAAGGCGCATTCATTTCACAAAATTGTCGTCTTCCAAAACGCACGAAAACAGGTCCCCCACTCCCCCCCGCCCCCTCTATATCCACCCCCACCCTCCTCCTCCTCCCTCCGCATTACCCACCCCCTTCTTTCCACACACCCCCACAGCTTGTACAATTTGGGCTCTGGGTTTTCCGATTACCCACCAAATCTTCCCTAAATTACTTTAAAACCTCCGATTGTAAGCGATCGATAGGAAGATTCGGACTGGTGGGTTGTAATCGTTCGATGAAGAGAGCATCATCGGGGGACGATTCGATGGCGGCGGCGAGTTCGGCGGATGTCAAGATGAAGAGGATTAAGGTGGAGGAAGAGGAGGAGGAGATGGTGGTTGACTGCGTTGACCAGGATGAGCTGAAAGGGGCGGGGTTTTCGAATCTGGACGACAATCTGATCTTCGAGGTGTTCAAGCACGTGGACGCGCGGACGTTGGGGGTGGCGTCGTGCGTGAGTAAGCAGTGGCACAAGACGGCGGAGGACGAGCGGCTCTGGGAGCTGATATGTACCAGGCAATGGGCTAACATCGGCTGCGGCAACCAGCAGCTGAGATCTGTGGTCCTCGCGCTTGGCGGATTCCGGCGGCTCCACTCCCTATCCATCTGGCCGTTCAGTAAGCCCTCCTCCGCCTCTTCCAGCTCTGCTCCTTCTTCTTCCTCGTCGGGTGCGTCCTCCTCGGCTTCGCCTTGGGCGACGGCTCCGGTGAAGCCGATGCCGAATCCAAAGCCGCCAACCGCTCGTTGGGGAAAAGACGAGGTGAATCTGTCGCTCTCGCTTCTCTCGATTCGGTTTTATGAGAAGATGAACTACGCGAACAGGGGAAGATGATCAGAAATTAAACTCCACAATGAAATTATATATATTATATATATCTCGTAATTTCAGTTGGGTTTTCCCTCTTTAGATTTGAGTTTTTTCTCTCTAAATTTCCCTGATTTGGATCTGTAATTCTTGTTAGATTTTGAATCCTTTTGTGTAAACTAAGGTAATTTCTGAATTATTATGCACTGTAATTCCACAATTTGATCTATTGGAATTTGGGTTTGCTTTCTATCTGGTGTTTGTTTCTGGGGATTTGGGGGGGGGGGGGGGAAGTTTGGCGGTGGTGGTGTTGATTCGCGGGGCGGATGATTCGATTGGCGAATACGGACAGACAGAAAGGGGAAGAGATACCAAATGCGGAAGGGGGGGGTACGGTCGTAATAAAAGGCTTGTTTCTGGGTATTTGGCGGGTTCGAAAGGGTGCGAATAGCAAAATGGCAGGTTCGAAGGACCAAGTTGTCGTATGTATTGGGAGTGCTCGTATTTCTTGGAGAATTGCCAGACTGCTTGCTGCCGCATTGGTTTCTGTCGTAATTTTGTCTTTGGCTTCTTGTGCCCATTTGTCTCCTCATGTTGGCTTGCCGCTGCAGACTTTGACGGGGTTTTCCTTCCAACTGGAGGAAGGGAATGCCATCTTCTTGTGTTTCAATAGATTATGTCATCAATGCGAGAGAGAGCCAAATTCAAGTAGTAGGGCAGATGGCGTTTCAACGCCATCATTTAAAAAAAAAATAAAAAAATAAAAAAAACCAAATAAGAGGGTTATAAGCACAAAAGCATAAAATTTAGTCCTCTATATAATACATAGATTTTCTCTTGCCAATTTAGCCATCCATTTAATGTCACGTGTACAAAAAATAAGCTACTAGTCCAAGAAACATTTGCTACATGGTGAATCTCTTCATTCTGATTTGAAGTGCATGGCTCGGACACGTAGATAGAACGTATCAAATGTAAACTCTCAGTCTGCATAAGAAAATAACCTTGTACGTACAAAGTTGTATACTTGTACATGAAAAGGCACAAAACCCTATCCGTGGAGAAGCGAATACATGTTCGATTCCATGGACATGTACTGCATAAAAACACAGAGTGACAGTATCTTGGCCCGTGACCGTGATGGACAACTAATAAGAATTCTCAGTTATTTACTACTGTTAATATGCTGAGGTTTGGATGCATGTTGTTGACGGCAAGCAAAAGGGTGAGGCTTACGACACAACAAAATAGAGAGAATCGATGGGTCGATGGATGTTGGTAAACTGAACTGCCGTTTTAGTCTTTTGTGGCGTCCCTTTGCTTAAACCCCCCCTGTTCTTTTTTCTTTGGCCGGTAAACTTCAAGAGTTTTGGTCTCCTTGAAATTAGCTTTTTGTCAGATTCTCTATTTCCTTTGTAGTTTCATTTTGCATTTGCTATCGTCCTAAATCGGTGATTAATAATTTCACTGCATTGATTTTAGTTAGGCCAGTGTGATTAGTCTATTTACTATACAAAACTCGGAATTTAACCAATGCAGTCTATAGGCGATAGCTAATGCGGTGAGTGACGAGTAAAAATATTTTCTTTGGTCTTCTGTTTGGCAAGACATACCTTTCCATGAATTTTTTTCCCATTTGGACCAAGAATTTCTAGACTCCATTACTCATTGCTCTTCTGAATTCTGAACCAACTGTGAATTATGCTAGTTTGGAATTCGTAGGCAGCGTATAAAGATTTGCCACCCAACTCCATGTACTAATATTTCAATTCTCGCCACCTTACTTTTGTGTAATTTCCCAGGTTTCTTCAGTTTTTTTTTGGTTTGTAGCTTCCCACTGAAACACACATTCTCCTCCAGTTTTGACATCCTTGCTATGCATTTGCTGTACAAAGAAGTAAAACATAGATAATTTGTTCAATTTCGTCGGGCAAATTCGTTTGTTATTTGGATAGACTCCTACTTATGACATGAAATTTTGACCCGAAAATACTTCAAATCTGATTGTGGAAAATGTCTCCACTCAAAAGTTCAGATCAAATATGAAGTAGAATATTTGGCTCATTTCTTTGAGAGAAATCATTTTCGTAAGAATTTCTTTTCTTTTTTTTTGGGTAGGGGGCGTCTCACTTAGTGTGAAACCGTATCACATTTTCGAAATGTATACAAAACAATTTATATTATGTATTTGACGAGTTATTATGCATGTGTTAAATTATAATTTGTGCGAATGAGTGATTCTTTTTGACACATTCCAGTCCCGGCTCCGTCGTAGCACGATATTGTCCGTTTTGGGCCCCGGCCACGCCCTCAAGGTTTTGTTTCTGGGAACTCACACGAGAATTTCCCAGTGGGTCACCCATCCTGGGAATGCTCTCGCCCGAACTCGCTTAACTTCGGAGTTCCGATTGAATCCAAAGCTAGTGAGTTCTCAAAAAGTCTCGTGCTAAATGGAGGTGGACATGTACATATAAGGCATATCACCCCTTTCCGTTGGTCAATGCGAGCTCTTACAATCCACCCCATTTAAGGGGAATTTGGCATCCTCGTCGGCACATCCACACCCAACGGTAGCTCTGATACCAATCTAACACATCTCAGTCCCGGCTCCGCCGTAGCACGATATTGTCCACTTTGGGCCCCGCGCTCACGGTTTTGTTTCTGAGAACTCACATGAAAACTTTCCAGTGGGTCACCCATTCTGGAAATGCTCTCGCCCAAACTCGCTTAACTTCGAAGTTCCAATAGAATCCGAAGCCAGTGAATTCCCAAAAGGCTTCATGCTAAATGGAAGTGAGCATGTACATATAAGGCACATTATCCATTCTCGATTGGCCAACGTGGGATCTTACACCTTCTATAGCAGGAGCCAAGCAATGTCCATACCTAATTGAGACTTTAAAGTTTGACACATCAACAAACCGAATGTTTACTAAAATTCGATTCAGACCATTATCAATTCTAGTCCACCTCCATTCAAGACCAACTGTGGAGAAGAAATTAAACAGAAATTATCGAGTGCAAAATACTCTTAACTGTATCAGTTATGCTCTTGTACCTTTTCAATATACTTAGTTGGGCCGGGGTACCCAGCTCAAATCATGTGTGCAGACTCAGAAACAACTAATTTGGATCAATATTTGTGGGCGGAATCAAAAGACAAAACGTATAAATCATACAATATATATATATATATATATATAGAGAGAGAGAGAGAGAGAGAGAGAGAGAGAGAGAGAGAGAGAGAGTTAATAGTAACAAGCATTTTCTCCTGTCAAAGAAAATTTAATATTCAATATCTAAGTACTCCGAACTGAACTTGGGGTGGATTTGCGGTATCCGAGTCCATCAGATTACGTCCTCCAGTGAATCTTTCAAGTCTTGAACCAACCCTCGTGCACTTTCCCAGCCATTTCTTCCTTCCCAAGTCAAAAATATGAATCTCACTTTCCCACCTCCTCCCCACGCACTCGGACACTACTATTTATAGCACCCGAATCCCCACTCTATTCTTCCAAACCAAATCAAACCATCGTCGATCATTTTGCGATATATTCTTCTTCAAGATGGCAAAAAGTTTGAAAGCCTTGTGCTCCTCACTTGTTGTTCTTCTCGTCGTAAGCTCTTTGGTTTCGTGTATGTTGGAGGCTCGTCCTCTTAAGTTGGGGAACATAGACAAAGAGATGGAGAGTGTGTTCGATGGATTGTATATTGGAACAATGAAGAATGAAGGTCCGAGCGACGCAGGAAAGGGTCATGCGTTCACTGAGTCGGAAACCCTAGGAGGGATAAAAGATTCTGGTCCTGGACCTAGCGGTCCGGGACACTGATTGCAGTCGGCCATTGCCATTCGAACTAGTGATTGACTCTTTCATGATGTTTAAGCTAAATATTTTTATGCAGTTTTTAGGTATATTGCATAAACAAGTTCAATTTATTTTAATTGTAATGTAATGCAGCTCAGCTATGATGTAATCATATAAAATAATAAAAGTATGTTTTATTTGTAATACCTAGACTACCGCTAGGCACATAAGTTGGTTTGCTATTACTCGACTTTCATTCTCCGATTTGGGATAATCACAAAGTAGAAAACATATACGACACGAGTACATCATCATAATAGCATCTCGTAATAATAAAATAAAGATGTATAAATTCTTTTTGTTCATATATTCTTGTTTTATTGATACGTAACTCTATGTGGCAGTATTAAATTGTTCTCCTCCAAATGAGGTAGTTTCATCCTTGTCATGGAGGGTAAAGAGCAAATGGTTCAGAAGGTATGTCCAATTGGAATCCTAACAAGGAGTAAAGTATGCCGCCGGGACACGTTGTATCAATTGTTTATGGAAACAATATCCGAAGCTGCAAGGTGTAGGGCGGCTCTGTTTCATTGAGGATGGTGCATGCTTTTGACCGGCAAATGAAGAAACCAAACCTGAAGAAACACCTGTCCTCACAAAAACCATGCAGCCATGAAAACAATTAATCAACATTCATGAATCATATGTCACTAGTCCATCATGATATCTTAGGAGTCATTGATTACGATTTCATTTTTCAAATTTTAGTTTTTATTTTTTTAAATAAAAAATTCAATTTGTATCAATTTGAATTTTTAAAAATTGAAAAAAGAAAAACTGAAAAGCAAATTCCAAACAGAATCTATATCTTTCTCACATCATAATTCCCTCCAAATGAACGGTCTATGATCTCTCCCATCCTTGATCCAATCGCACCACTTTCATTGCTGTAAACATCCACTTTCGACGTAATCGGCTGGTTGTACACCCAGTCCGGTGCAATGTATCCTCTCGTTCCTCGTATCCTCGAAAAGCTCGATTTTTTTAGGCCGTCCCTGTTGATTAGCTTGGAGAGTCCAAAATCTGCAACCTTCGGTTGGTAATTTGAGTCCAAGGGTGTGTTTTGAAGCTTAACATCACAGTGCAAAACCCACTCCAAACACACTTCATGCCGACAAGCAAGGCCTATCGCAGTCCTGACAGCAATCTCAAACCTCTTCTCCCAATCAAGAACATTGGAAGATAACTTCCCGGCCAAGGAACCATGCCCCATTACTCGTAAAAAACGGACTGATTTTTCTCTGAGCAATATCCTCACATGTCAATCAAGTGCATATGATTCAACCTCCCAACTGTGTTAGCTTCACCTAGAAATTCAGCTTCTCCTTGATCAACCTCGTTAAGGAGCTTAATCGCGGCAACTCTCTGATCAGGCAATACACCTTTGTACACTATTCCTCCTGCCCCTCTTCCAATCTCTTCACTAAAACCACGCGTCGCCTTCTTGGGCTCGGTGTAGCTGAATCTTTTGAACCCATGCAGCAAGAACGTACCCCTGCATATCCTCATTGGAATCTCGCCGGGTAGTAGTACTTAACAAGCCCCAAACCAAAAGGACACAAACGACCTCAAACCCGCCAACTCCAATGGCAAACAGAGCAGGAAATTCACTGGACCAGCTACACTGCTTTTCACATAATTTCTATCTAGACCAACAACTCTGCTTAAGCAGGTTAACTGATACTGTTCTTGGGGCTTTTGGTAATACAACACATGGATTTCGGCACTCTCAAGTACAAGTCTCCCCAAAAGCTTGGTTACCTGTGTCCATTGAGCAAGGTTGTCTTACGGTAACAACTATAACTCGGTCTGCCAGGGAATGCGAGAGTATTGGAACCCTTTGAAATTAAATTCGGGCTCGCAACCATATTGCCAATCAATGTGATTAGTCATTTTTCGTAGCCTGGAATGCAAGAGCATTTCCTACCATATTTTGGATCATATCTGCATGCGCTATTGACTCCGCAAATTCCACGAATACCTCATTGTATATACTCACAATTCTCGATGCAAAGCATTAGCGCCAAAACAAATTGCCCTGAACAATAATAAAATGAGACGCAAAGGCTCCAAGTCCAAGACTGCGGCGAGTGATACCACTGACACTGACTCGTCCGCCGCCGAGTCCGACAGCTCCGCCACCAAGACCGATTCCGACAAGATCCACGACGAAAACTACGACGCTTCGCCCCCTTCCCCCGATTCCTGCCCCTTTACCGAGGGCGAGAAGGCCCTCGCCTTTCACAAGGCACGACTGTACGAGGCCAAGGTACTCGCTTTTCTGCAGGCGATTGAATTGTATTTCTGTATGGTTATTAGGGTTTTGTTTCCCTAAATGTGACAACAATTTCAACTTTTTGCTGATTAATCGCTCGTGCTGTGCGTTTTGATTGCAAGGTAACCGATGTCCGATATAAGATGGATTGGGAGTTTTATGTTCATTACGCTGTAAGTATGAACACTAATTTTCTATAATTTCTGATTTTCTTTGATCAAACATACTAAATGCGTGATTGTTTCATCTGTAAGCTCAAATTTTGTATCTTTTCTCGGAAGTTAAATGCCGTCTGATTTGTGTGTGGTTGCATTTCTTGATTGTATGTTCTTCTGTCCTGCAGGGATGGAACAAAAGGTGAGCCCGCCTTCCTGCTTAAGGTTTCCGAATTTTGGGTTCATGTTCATTGATTTAAGATGGTGGATTTTGGAAGCATGCCCTACTTCAGTTTGTGTGTTTTTTATTTTTCGGTTATCATTTGCCATTTCGCTTCAGTTTAAGTGGTATTTTCGCCTTAGTTTATTAGACCGCAGCAGATGTTATTATGGGACCATTATATTGTAATTGATTCTGATGACGGAGGTTTATCGGAGATGAAGGCTAATGCCTAAGCTTTCATTGGTTAATATCTCTTGAAACTTCTGTTTGATTTATCTTATTGACCTTTTCTCTCTTTTTTGCTCTCAACAGTTGGGATGAGTGGGTAGGGTTGGATCGTCTGATGAAAAACACTGACGAGAATAAGAAGAAACACCAGTACCTCAACCAGAAACAAGGAACAGACAAGAATGCGAAGCTAATACGCACAGCGCATGCTAAACCAAAAAGTTATAATGGTTGGTTTATCATCTCTAACTTTTCTTTTGTTGTTGCCCAATCATGAAGTTTGGATTTATTCTTGAATGTTAGATGTAGGGTGTGGAAATTCTGGCATGTTACATGAACCATCCTATTTTTGGGCGACCTTTGAGGTTTAACGGTCATAAGTGTTACCCTTCGTAGGGGTAAATATAATGGATATGGGATACTGAAAAAGTAACAATGTAGTTAACTAATTTACCAACATGCATTCTTCGTTCACGATCATAACTTGAATATGGTTCTTGAATTAGGATGCCAAGAGGTTAGGTACTGAAAATATATCCTGTTTTATTAACTTCTCTTGCAATTTGAAGGTGTATATAATCTGCATTGTTCTTACTGTTGGTATGAAATTATGTGCAGCGTCTAGAGGGAAGAAGCGAAAGAATGACTCTGTCTGTAAGGTATGCTCTGTTCATTTGTCTCCTAAACCATCCTTAGATTGCCTATCCAGGCTTATCTCTTCCAGATATTTTGCCATCACTATACAGAAGTTTGTACTTAATTTAGAGGCCAACATGAATGTTACAGTTTTTTTCTTTTGATTTTCAAATTTTAGGACAAAGGTGCCATACCGATGGAAGATCTTGTCCTTCAAATGCCACAAACACTAAAGAAACAACTAGTTGATGATTGCGAATTTATTACTCATCTGGGCAAGGTATTGTGAATTCATTACTCGAACCTGAATTTATACATTTGATTTATTCATGATGAAATCCCAATTAACGATATCCATATTTTATTGCAGCTTGTTAAACTTCCACGTACTCCAAATGTGGATGACATATTCAAGAAGTATCTAGATTACAGATCAAAGGACAGTAAGTAAGTTTCCTTTCTTCCATCCCTTGGCATCCTATATTTTTTTTTAAATTCTTTTCTCGGGTTCCATTTTACAAAATATTTATCCATTTTGATTTTTTTTTTGAGAGAGTAAATTAATTTTCTCAAGGATTTACTAATGCCGCTTCTCATACATTCTACCGGTTGGTCATCAACTGGAATTTGGGGTCTAATTTAATTAATTTGGACCTACAACATTCACAACTTTCAACTTTTGTATTTTCTAGAATCCAGTTTGCAGATATGCACTTGATTTTAGCTGATGGACTATTCTTAATGTGAATCCAGGAAGATTGAAGCTCAATCTGTTGAAGAAATCCTGAAAGGACTGTGTTGTTACTTTGACAAAGCACTACCGGCAATGCTTTTGTACAAAAATGAACGTCAGCAGTATGAGAAAGCAATCACAGATGATGTCTCTCCGTCATCTGTCTATGGTGCCGAGCATCTATTACGGCTCTTCGGTATGAACATACTTTACTACGTAACCAAATGGTGTGTTTCTAAATAGAATTGTGTTGAAAAATGCATATCATGCTTGAGCATGCTGTTGATTTTGTGGTTTTTTATGCTTTTGAAGTCTTTATTATATTAAGAGGTAGTCATCATAAGATCTGGACTTGAGATGTAATTTTTTGGTATTTGCAGTTAAACTACCCGAGTTATTGTTGGATGCTAACACTGAAGAGGAGACGTCGAAAGCGTTGCAGCAAAAATTGGTCGACTTTCTCAAGTACTTACTTCTACTTGCTCTCCTACATAAATACCCAAAATTATATCTTTCTTTATAGTACGCAGGTTTTCGTAATCCCACGAGTTTTTGCTTTTTTGACCTCATTTTTACTCTTGCCGATTGATCATGCATCTTGTCATGAAGGTTCCTACAGACGAACCAGAGTGCGTTTTTCCTTTCTACCTATTATGTACCAGACGATATTGAAACCAGCACCAACAAACCAGATGTCTAAGCGCGGGCACACTCGCAACATTTTTGTACGTAACACCGCAGAAGAGCAGCTGTTCATGATGTCTCGGCACCATTTTGAATATTTCATTAGTTCGAAAAGCCGTTGAAACTTAATGTGCTCTGGGTGCACATATTATCATGTAAAATATCTAGTTGGAACATGGCCGATGCCTTATAAATGTCTGCGGCCCTATGCCGTCGAGGTTGTATCTTTTGTGATTAATCTAGTTACAACATTGGCTTGCTGCTAATGTGGGGGAGGGCCAAAGAATCATGGTTTGTTACCCGGGGGATTCGATACTTCGGCGTTCTTGTCAAATTTTGCAACCGTGCTGATCCGTTTGGGTAGGTCTAATTTTCTAGCACCTCCATGATAATGAAGGGTGGAAAATTTTCATTTCACACATCAAATAATTGAGGAGCCCTTTCATTCCGTTGGAATTTCCAACACATCAAATAATTGAGTTAATTTTTTAATTCAATTCCGTCACACACAAGCAGTGGATGCAGATCATTTCGTCAAAATTGCTGTCTTGAATTTCCAACGATGTCTTCACATGAAGATGAAGTTCTACTTGAAAATTTGGAACAAAAAATAATAAGTTAAGGTAGACTGCATGATCAAACAACTTTCATATTAGGTGAGACTAGTGTAAAGTTAAGTAGGACCAACATGTAAATGTCCTATTCTTTCTGCGGCAGCCGCCTCTCGTTGTCTTTTCGATCGTGTCACATCTTGTGAGATTGTGACGGTCCACAAGCTGCTACTTGAACCCTAAGATGCAGAACGTTAAGCGGGCAACGGGTCTTTGGCCTCCGACCGTCCAATTGGAAACCGTGTCGCTTGAGTGGTACAACTGTTTTGCCTGTTGCAAATTCTCAACGGTCAAGATTGTTTGTTGCCCTACGAATAACATGGTCGGACATTTTACTTCATTTTTCTCTTTTAATAATGAATCATATTTAGTGCGGTTAAATTTTTTAATTGTAACGGGGATATGGATGATACACAACGTGTTTTTATGCAAGTGATGAAAAATTTTAATTTTTTAGTTATTAACCTTTTAACACACATAACCTATCATTTATATAAGAACATGTGGTGTAACACATCGTGTAACGGGAACACTGAAAAATCCCTCCGTAGTTTGATGTACATAAAAAATGTCCAGTTTTGCTCCAACTTTGGTCTCCATCAACCCAATTGATGCGGGTGTGGTCCTACAACTACATACGCACAGTTCATGACCGTGTTCTCTAAATTTAGTTCAGCTCTCTGCAGCCAATCCCATTCCCCTCTCTCATCTCAAATGGCTACTCTGTTTCTCATTTTTCTTCTCTCTCTCGCCATTAATTCTCCACCTTCGTCTTCAACCTCCAACACTCTGAGCAGAGCTTCCTCCCTCTCTGTCGAGAAACCAGAAGATGTTCTAATTTCACCTGATGGAGTTTTCACCGCCGGCTTTCACCAAGTTGGTAACAATTCATATTGCTTTGCCATTTGGTTCTCCGAGCCTTCATCATCCTCCGACCGCCACCAAAACCCCACCGTTGTCTGGACTGCCAATCGCGACCGTCCAGTCAATGGAAAACGCTCAAAACTCTCCCTCCTCAAAACCGGTAACCTCATCTTAACTGATGCTGGTCAGTCCATCGTTTGGGCCACAACCACCACATCACTCTCACCGGCTCACTTAACCCTCCACAGCTCCGGCAACCTGGTTTTACGAAACTCCGATGATCATGTCGTTTTGTGGCAGAGCTTTGATTCTCCGACCGACACCCTTCTTCCGCTCCAACCCTTCACCAGGAATGCAATGCTTGTCTCCACAAGAAGCCAGAGCAACTCCTCCTCCGGTTTCTACAAGCTCTTCTTCAACAATGACAACCTCCTCCGTATACTTTTTGACGGTCTCGAGGTCTCCAGCGTCTACTGGCCCGACCCTTCTCGTGTGAGCTGGGACAATGCAAGGTCCACCTACAACAACACCAGAACAGCCATGCTCGATTCTTTAGGCAGTTTTGTCTCGTCGGACAACTTGACTTTTATGTCAACTGATTACGGTGCTAGGTTGCAGAGGATATTGAGGATTGATTTTGATGGAAATGTTCGATTGTATAGTCGCGAAAGGGTGGGGGAAAAATGGGTGGTTTCATGGCAGGCCATTTCGGATCCATGCAAGGTTCATGGGACTTGTGGAGCAAACAGCGTGTGTAGCTATGACCTCGGTTTTGGTAGGAAATGCTTGTGCCTTCCAGGGTATAATATGAGAAATCTTACTGATTGGTCCTTCGGGTGCGAACCTCAATTCGATCTCTCTTACACGAAAGGTAATGCGTCTAGCTTCCTCAAACTTGCACAAGTTGAGTTCAATGGTTATGATTTCAACTCCTACACAAATTACAGTTACATGGAGTGTGAGAGCATATGCTTGAAACTGGAAAACTGCAAGGGGTTTCAGTACACATTTGACCGTGGAAATGGTTTTTATAACTGTAATCCCAAGACGCAATTGCGAAGTGGGCACATGTCGGATTCTCAAGGGTACCTCTATCTGAGACTGCCTAAAGCCTTCCTCCTCTCGAATGGCTCTGGCATAAAGGCACCAAAAGACTACGGGCTTATATGTACAGACAGAGTCATTGATCTCAACAGAAATTACGTGAAAAACCATGTTAGTAAGCCAGTGAAGTTCCTGCTTTGGTTTGCTTGTGGAGTGGGAGGGTTTGAGATCGTTTGTATTCTTTTGTTTTTGTGTTTGTTAAATAGTAGAACTCGGAAAAAGTCCAATGAGGATATGCAACAAGGGTACCTTCTTGCTGCAACCGGATTCAAAAGGTTTAGCTACACCGAGCTCAAGAAGGCAACTCGGGGTTTTATTGAAGAAATTGGAAGAGGTGCAGGTGGATTTGTGTACAAAGGTGTATTGGATGACAAACGAGTTGCAGCGGTTAAGCTTCTTAATGAAGCTATTCAAGGAGAAGCTGAGTTTCTAGCAGAAGTTAGCATGCTCGGGAGGCTGAACCATATGCACTTGATAGAAATGTGGGGATATTGTTCAGAGGGAAAGCACAAGCTTCTTGTTTACGAGTACATGGAGCACGGTTCTTTGGCCCAAAATTTGTCTTCGAATGTGCTTGATTGGGAGAAGAGGTTCGAGATTGCTGTGGGCACTGCGAAAGGCCTTGCTTATCTGCACGAGGAGTGCTTGGAGTGGGTTTTGCATTGTGATGTTAAGCCTCAAAACATACTCTTGGATTCAAACTACCAACCAAAAGTTGCAGATTTTGGACTTTCCAAGCTATTTAACAGAGGCGAGCTTAAGAACTCAAGCTTTTCAAGGATAAGAGGAACCAGAGGCTACATTGCGCCGGAGTGGGTGTGCAATCTGCCAATCACATCAAAAGTGGATGTGTATAGTTATGGGATTGTTGTGTTGGAGATGGTGACAGGAAAGAATCCTATGATGGGAGGGGATGCCTTTGATGGTGAGCAGCGAAGACTGATCTCGTGGATGAGGGAGAAGGTAAATGGAACTAGCTCTATCAAACTACAGATAGAAGAGATCATAGACTCTTCGTTTGAAGGCGAATACGATGTGGAGAAGGTAGAAGTTCTTCTGAAAGTAGCTTTACACTGTGTGGAGGAAGACAAAGATGACAGACCAACCATGAGACAAGTTGTTGAGATGCTTTTACACCTTGACGAAGATTGTTAGGTAGTTATGTCTTGTGAGGTTTAGGCTGTGAGGCTCGCTTGACTCAGCAGCACATATAATTTTAGTATTATTTCCTTTGATTGGTAGTTTTGTTTCTGCCATGTTTGCTTGTCGTATCGATTTTCTAATGCTTGCTCAACTTCTCTCTCTCAAATTTCTACCAGTTAAATGTCTTGAAAATAGGTTTTATCATGGTAGAAAAACACAACTTTACGATTTGTACGCAACTTCTCTAGCAGGAATTGCTCAATTCTCCTGTTCTCCATTGAGAAAATCCTAATGGCGGAAATGATGAAATCATTGAGAAATTTTGGACCATTTAAACGATGACTTAAAAACAGTCTTTAAGACTTGAAGACAAAATATAATTTTGTGAGTCCAATTTTCCTCAGCATAGCAATGATACCATCTCTTGGTGCGGAACTACACTCCTAGGCCAAGTTATCCAACTACTAAAGCAGTAAAGCAGCCTACCTACTCTTGCTCAAAGCAGTTGGAGGAAATCTAGCCCCTGATAGAACGCCCCAGTCCCTCGCTCAAGTAAAATATATGGCCGCCTTGACATAGTTCACACACTTGAGTTCCGTTTCCAATCAGTCGAGTTATTAGAAACTCCTTTTTACCACCATAAGTACAGAGTGGAAACAGAAAACCATATTAGTCTTGGTCAATTATTGGAAGCAGAAATCTTTGTTGCCTGTGGTCCTACATAGCAATAATACCATTTGTTGTAGGACTGGTTTATTAAGTGCTGCATCTCAAATGTTGTATTCATTCATTGGTCACATGGGCACCTTGTTTCTCATTTTTCTTCTTTCTCTAGCCATTAGTCCCCTTCCTTCGTCTTCAGCATCGGACACTTTGCGTAGAGGCTCATCCCTCTCTGTGGAGAAACCCAATGATGTCTTAATCTCACCGGATGGGGTTTTCACTGCCGGCTTTCACCAAGTTGGCGACAACTCATTTTGCTTCGCCATTTGGTTCACCGAGCCTTCTTCCAATCACTACCAAAACCGCGCGGTTGTTTGGATGGCGAATCGCGACCAACCGGTGAACGGGAAATACTCAAAGCTCTCACTCCAAAGTTCTGGCAATCTCATCTTAACTGATGCCGGCCAGTCTATTGTTTGGGCAACAACCACTACGTCACTCTCGGCAGCTCACTTGTCCCTCCAGAACTCAGGCAATCTGGTTTTACTAAACCTTGATCTTGTCGTTTTATGGCAGAGCTTTGATTTTCCAACCGACACCCTTCTTCCACATCAACCGCTCACCCGAAACACAATGATTGTCTCTATGAGAAGCCAGAGCAACTTCTCCTCTGGCTTCTACAAGCTTTTCTTTGACAATGACAATCTTCTGCGTCTACTTTTCGATGGTGTTGAGATTTCAAGCGTATATTGGTTTGAGCCATGGCTTACAGGCCAGACTGCTGGAAGGTCCACGGATAACAGCAGCAGAACTGCAGTGCTTGATTCGTTAGGCAACTTTACTTCGTCTGATAGTTTCACATTAATGGCAGCTGATTATGGTGCAGGATTGCAGAGAAGACTGACGGTTGATTCTGATGGAAATGTTCGATTGTATAGTCGAGAAAAGCCCGGAGACAAATGGAGCGTTTCAGCGCAAGTCTTCTCCGATCCATGTAAAATTCACGGCGTTTGCGGAGTTAACAGCGTCTGCAGCTACGATCCATTTCATGGTAGAAAGTGCTCTTGTATTCCGGGTTACAAGATGAAAAATCATACTGATTGGTACTATGGTTGTGAGCCTCAATTTAATTACACTTGCAACAAAGGTGAGTCAACTTTCTTTAAACTTTCAAAGCTTGAGTTTTTCGGGTATGATTACGGTTACTTTGAAAACTACACCTATACGGATTGTGAGAATTTATGCTTGAAACTATGTAACTGCAAAGGGTTCCAATACTCTCGCATCCCTGACCGACCGATATTTAGCTGTTACCCCAAGACGGTATTGCTCAATGGATACCGGTCCCCTAGCTTTTTTGGGGACCTGTATTTGAGAGTGCCTAAAACCCATGTTTCGTATTATCAAAAGCCCCAGGAAGAGTATAGGTTAAGCTGCTTAAGCAGAGTTGTTGTTGGTCTAAATAGAAATTATGTGAAGAGCAGTGTGGCTAGTTCAGTGAAATTCCTGCTCTGGTTTGCCATTGGAGTTGGCGGGTTTGAGATCATTTGTATCCTTTTGGTTTGGGGATTGTTAAGCAATACTACTCGGCGAAATTCCAACGAGGATATGCAGGGATATGTTCTTGCTGGAACAGGGTTCAAAAGATTTAGCTATGCCGAGCTTAAGAAGGCGACACGGGGCTTTAGTGAAGAGATTGGAAGAGGGGCTGGAGGAATCGTGTACAAAGGCGTGCTGGCTGATCAAAGAGTTGCAGCGATTAAGCTTCTCAGCGAGGCTGATCAAGGAGAAGTTGAATTTCTAGGTGAAGCTAACACAATTGGGAGGCTGAACCATATGCACTTGATTGACATGTGGGGATATTGCTCAGAGAAAAAGCACAAGCTTCTCGTTTACGAGTACATGGAGCATGGTTCCTTGGCTGATAAGTTATCTTCCAATGTTCTTGATTGGGAGAAGAGGTTTGAGATTGCTGTCGGGACAGCGAAAGGCCTTGCTTATCTGCACGAAGAGTGTTTGGAGTGGGTTTTGCACTGTGATGTTAAGCCTCAAAACATTCTCTTGGACTCAGATTACCAACCAAAGGTTGCAGATTTTGGACTCTCCAAGCTAATCAACAGGGGCGGCCTTGAAAACTCGAGCATTTCGAGGATACGAGGAACGAGAGGATACATTGCACCGGAGTGGGTGTACAACCAGCCGATTACGTCGAAAGTGGATGTTTACAGCTATGGGATTGTTGTGTTGGAGATGTTGACCGGAAAGAACCCTACCATTGGCGTTGGTGGCGTTGAGGGTGAGCAGAGAGGACTGATTAATTGGGTGAGGGAGAAGGTTGATGGAAGTGGTGGGATTGGATCAAGGATGGGAGAGATCATAGACCGTTCAGTTGGAGAGAATTATGATGTGAGAAAGATGGAGATTCTGTTGGAAGTAGCTTTGCGTTGTGTAGAGGAAGAAAAAAATGCAAGACCTACCATGACCCAAGTGGTTGAAAAGCTCCTGCGGATTCACAAACACAGAGACCATTAAGCGGTCTTATTACACATCTGTTTGTTTCTTATATATGTAATGTTGTGCATACTATTACTGTACTATGTTACCTTTACCATCGCCTCCACCTAAATCAGTGCCATCGGCAAACTCATTAAACCTAGATTTCCCCAAAAATTTGGCTTAATTCTTTCTGCACCAACCAAATCATCTCGATCGCGTGTGTGGGCTCTCAACTGAAGCCCAAAACCCAGACCAACTCGCCACACGCCGAACAGATCATGGCGGAGTCCTTGTGGACAGAGTTGTCTGCCACTAGCAACGGTTCTTCGTGAGTCGGGGCTAGAAAGGTTTATCCAATCGTCATATTTCAATTTTTTTTTACTTATAATCCAACGATTGTGATTAAATGAGATTAAATCTAATGGTAAAAAAATTATTTGATGGCCTAAAATTCAACGGCTACAACGATTTTAGAAAAAGTTATAGTGGTAAATCAATTTCATCAAAAACTCTATAAATACCTATTTTTTGTTGAAACATCCATAAGAAATTCACTTTTTTCACACAATTCTTCCCATTTTTCTTTCCATCCACTTTCAAACTATTTCTTCCCTTTCCTAAATTTTTCAAGATTCCAAAAGATCATGTACCTAATTTTTGTAATTTTTATTTACTAATGTCTATTGTTTTAATTATCGTGTTTTAATTTGTATGTAGTGTTTTAATTATTGTTTGTATTAGTATTTGTTGTAAGATTGAATTATAGATTTGGGTTTAAGAATGGGGTATGTCGTTTGATTTTCCATTATTTATCGAAATTTAAATTTTTAGGTAAAAATGTTCATAAAAATAAATTAGGATAGTCTATATATCTTTTTTTTTTTTTAAGTTACCGGAAAAAATTAGACAAAAATCATTATTTAATAATCTCGGCCTAAAATTTTAAGCCATAACCATTGAAGGAGAAAAACAATTTATGGATTATGGCTTACAATTTTCTAGCTTAAATTTTTAAGCTTTAACCCCAACAATTGGAGTTGGTATTACAAGGACTAAACCTTGCAAGTCGAATACTACCAAGAATGCACCACACGAGGGAAATGGTCTCACCACTTTCTGATGATCTTGTAACAGTTGACAAAAAAGCCATGGTATGAGTCATCAAAGAACCATGAGAGACAATGGTCGAGCTTCCTTCTGTGGTCCTTTGTCTAACCACACAAACCATAAGAAACATAGAAGGCGCTCTCCTTGCCAGAGTGAAGGAGCTACCGCAACTAGGAGATGAAGACGGAGAAGTTAGAATATAGGGAAAACATGGAAGGGAAGAGAGGGACAATGCCAAGAAAGACTGTTGCTAACCCCAAAGGCTAAAGGCAGGGTCGGCTACGGATGAGGTTTTTTCTCAATTTTTTTATTTTTATTTTTAGTAGTTCTAATTAGTAGCTCTAATGCATATACTTGAAACGTTTTCATTAATTAAAAAAGTGTACATGAGTTGAAAAATCAAAATACTAGTTGCATGTTATTTGAAGATATCACTGAATATTGTGCTGCAATTTGTAAATATTAAATATATAAAAGAACTTTGGATGCTTATAATACCCAGCGGCTCCTGTTGAATCATATGCATCGATTACACAAGGAGCAGCCTTCAAACTCAAAGGTAGCTACCCACTACCTTCCCTTCCATCGTTTCTTCTAGCCACTTGGAACTTGATAACAAAAGTTTAATTCTTTTCCATGAATTACGTCGTTTTCTTATTCATACATGAATAATCTAATTCCATCTTGAAACTAAATAATACGAATAGTCTAATTTTATTTTGAAACTAGATAACACAAATAGTCTAATTCTATCTTCAAACTGAAGCGCTGGATTTACTTGCAATTATTACATGCATGGGCAGGTGGAGAAAATTTTAATTGTGACGGGAACACAAGTGGTATACCTCGTGTTTTAATAGAAGTGGTGGAAAATTTTATTTTGGCCTAATCGGATAAATGGTCCCCGTAATCATAAGGTATTCGGATGATAGCCCCTGTGGTAAAAAAATTCGGATTTAAACCCCTGTGGTCTAAGTCTGTTAGGATTTAAACCCCTGTGGTACAAGTCTGTTAGGATTTATGCCCTTTTGTTAAATAATGTTGACGTGGCTGCCACATATATGCCACGTGGCTGACAAATGTCTGTCACGTGGCAAAAATAATAATTTGTCTGTTAGGATTTAAACCCCTGTGGTCTAAGTCTGTTAGGATTTATGCCATTTTGTTAAATAATGTTGACGTGGCTGCCACATATATGCCACGTGGCTGACAAATGTCTGACACGTGGCAAAAATAATAATTTTTAAGTTTTTTTAAAAACCTGAATTTTTACAAACAAAAAAAACCCAGAAGCTCCCCCACCCTCCACCCGTCCCCCCCCCCCCGTCGGACTTCTTCTTCTTCTTCCCGCCGGTCTCCCTTCGCGACTCCTCCCTCTTCTTCCCGCCGGTCTCCCTTCGCGACTCCTCTTTCTTTCTTCTTCTTCTTCTTCTTCTTCTTCTTCTTCTTCTTCTTCTTCTTCTTCTTCTTCTTCTTCTTCTTCTTCTTCTTCTTCTTCCGCCGGTCTCCCTTCGCGACTCCTCCCTCTTTCTTCTTCTTCTTCTTCTTCTTGCAGACCTGGTTTTTTTTTTTTTTTTTTTTTTTGTAAAAATTCAGTTTTTTTTTTTTAAATAAAAATTATTATTTTTGCCACGTGGCAGACATTTGGCAGTCACGTGGCATATTTGTGGCAGCCACGTCAGCATTATTTAACAGAAGGGCATAAATCCTAACAGATTTAGACCACAGGGGTTTAAATCCGAATTTTTTTACCACAGGGGCTATCATCCGAATACCTTATGACCACGGGGACCATTTATCCGATTAGGCCTTTTATTTTTGAACATATCCCATCATTTGTATAGTGATACATGGTGTACCACCCCGTGTACCAGTTACATTGAAAAATCTCTTGGGCAGATGCTAATTACTTCGGACTTGGATTGTCTGCCCTCCTAGTTGTGGTGCCCTTCCATGCCCTCCTATTTTGTGCGGTCACGGTTAAGCCACGTCAATATTTTATATTTTTATTATTTTTTGTCTTATTATCTTATTAAAAAATTAATATAAAATATTGACGTGGCTTAACCGTGACCGCACAAAATAGGAGGGCATGGAAGGGCACCATAACTAAGAGGGCAGACAATCCAAGTCCAATTACTTCTCCCTTTCCACAATTTTTCAAAGAAGGCTTCAACAACCACCACTGTTCCAATTCCAAAGAAAAAAATAGTCAAAAGAATACAAACTAATAAAAAAAAACCTCTATTGACCAAAAAATAAATAAAAAAAACCCTAATTCATGCAACTTGCAACTCTATCTTCTATAATAACCACAACATTTTAAGCCTTTTCTTTAATTTCAATCACAATTTGCATACATGGCTTCTACATTTTTGTGCATTGTTCTTCTTTTTCTAGCACAATCTTCCCCGTTGGCATCATCAGCGTCCAATAATCTCAAACCCGGATCGTCTCTCTCGGTCGAAAATTCAGCCGACAAATTGATCTCAACAAATGGCATGTTTTCAGCTGGATTTTTTCCGGTGGGTGAAAATGCGTATTGTTTCGGGATATGGTTCACCGAGCCAGCAGCAGCCGACGCCGCCACTCAAAACCTCACCGTCGTTTGGACGGCCAACCGCGACCAGCTGGTCAACGGTAGGGGATCCAAGTTCACCCTACAAAAAAACGGCAACCTTATTCTAACCGATGCTGGAAAATATACCATTTGGTCCTCCAACACTGTTTTTTCTAATTCTCTGGCCCAGTTAATTCTCGAAGACAACGGAAATCTTGTACTTCTCACTCTCAAGGGTGTTGCTTTGTGGGAAAGCTTTGCTTCCCCCACAGACACACTTTTACCACAGCAGCAACTTACTAGGAACACAAAGCTTGTCTCTTCAAGAAGCCTCACTAACTGTTCATCCGGGTTCTACTCTCTATTTTTCGACAATGATAACACGCTTCGGCTTCTTTACGACGGCCCAGAGGTTTCGAGCATATACTGGCATGATCCTTGGCTGCTAAGTTTGCAAGCTGGAAGGACAACTTACAACAACTCTAGGGTTGCAGTGCTAGATGCTTTGGGGAATTTCAGTGCATCGGATGGACTTAATTTTATGTCATCAGATTATGGCGTGAAGTTGCAGCGAAGAGTGAAGGCGGATGTTGATGGTAATCTCCGATTGTACAGTCGAAAAAGCCCGGGAGATAGATGGGTTGTTTCATGGCAAGCAATTGCTGAACCCTGCAAAATTCATGGCATTTGTGGGCCTAATGGTTTGTGCACGTATGAGCCTAGTTCGGGTCGAAAATGCTCGTGCCTTCCAGGCTACGAAATGAGAAACAAAAACGACTGGGCTTATGGATGCCAGCCTACTACAGAAGGTTTCAATGTGTCTTGTAAAAGTAGTACAGCTCGAGATCAGTTCGACTTTATGTATCTTCCGAGGGTTGAATATTTCGGGTACGATTACTTCATTTACGTTAACACGTCATTAGAAAAGTGCAAAGCTATATGCTTAGAGTTATGCAACTGTCCAGGTTTCCACTACAAGTTTGGAGGTGGCCATCACAATTGTTATCCCAAGACTCAATTTCGAAACGGTTATCGCACGCCTGGTTTTACAGGAGAGCTGTATCTGAAGCTGCCCAAATCCATCCTTTCTTCGTATAATGCTACTGCAAAAGGATTCAACATGTGCTCGAGCAAACTCACAAGCCAGCTTTCCAGAACATATGAGAAAAAAAGTACAAATGGTTCCGTCAATTTTATGCTGAAATTTGCATCTGCATTGGGGGGTCTTGAACTTATCTGTATCATTGTTGTGTGGTATTTTGTGATGCGAAGCAGCGAAGAGAAAGAAGAGTCGGATGTGGTTACACAAGGCTACCTTCATGCTGTAACCGGTTTCAGAAGATTTAGCTACTCCGAGTTGAAAAAGGCGACACGAGGTTTCAAAGAAGAAATTGGGAGAGGTGGGGGAGGAATTGTGTACAAAGGCACATTGTCTGATCAACGCGTCGCAGCAATCAAGCAGTTGAATGCTGCAACCCAAGGGGAAGCAGAGTTTTTAGCGGAAGTGAGCCTGATTGGGAAGCTTTACCACATGAACTTGATCGAAATGTGGGGCTATTGCGTGGAAGGCAAGCACAGGCTTCTGGTTTATGAGTACATGAAGAATGGTTCCTTGGCTGAGAAGTTATCTTCCAATGTGCTCGATTGGAATCAAAAGTTCGAAATTGCTGTGGGGACAGCAAAAGGGCTGGCTTATTTGCACGAAGAATGCTTGGAATGGGTACTACATTGTGATGTGAAGCCTCAAAACATACTCTTGGACTCGAACTATAACCCGAAAGTGGCGGATTTTGGCTTGTCCAAGCTTTTAAACCGAAGTGAAGTCAGCAACTCGAAGTTTTCGAGGATACGAGGAACAAGAGGCTACATGGCACCGGAGTGGATTCAGAACATGCCCATCACTTCTAAAGTGGATGTTTACAGCTATGGGATTGTTGTATTGGAGATGGTGACCGGAAAAAGCCCGGCGGAAGGTGTTCAATCATCGGAAGGTGGAGGGGAGACGCAGAAGAAGATGATGGTTTCACGGGTGAGGGAGAACATGAACGGAGGATTTGAAAATACAGAGAGCAAGAAGGGAGAAGGGCTCATGAAAGTGGCTCTTCGGTGTTCGGAGGAAGACAGAGATGCAAGGCCTACTATGACGCAAGTAGTTGAGATGCTTCTACAGTATCAAGATGACTGAGAGTCCGAGATTGGAAACTCTTTAAGGTTATATTTTGGAAAAAAACCGCTTAGGTTTTTTTTTCTTCCCTAATTTGATAAAAACTGTATCGATGTCCAATAATGTTACTCAGTTTATTTTTTCCTTGGCTATAATCTTTTTTAATTATTTAAATTATTAATATGCTCTTTAAATTAAACTAAATTATTGAGAAAATGGTTCAAACATACATCATCTCCGGTTGGTGCAAGACAAGGGTAAGGGCCCTAAATTTGGAGTACCCCCCAGCCCAAAAAGCCACAGGTCCAGGAAGAATAAGGCAAGTGGTAGGCTATGTCAAGCCCGAGCAAGTTACGTCCGGCTTTGCACCAGCAAGTAAAGCTAATGTTAGCGTAACGTCAGCCACATTGTTTAATTTTTTTTGTGTGTGGTGTGTGCAATTCATGCGCAGAAGAGAGTGTGAACCAACAAGAGCTGCAACAATTGCACTAGAGCATCCCAACGCCTCTTTGACGTAGCAAATTCTCAGTCGTTGGATTTCTAAACGACCCGATGATCTAGACCGCATGATTTTAAATGGCAAAAAAGTGTGGAAAAATTACCATTTTAAGTCGTGGAAAAATTAGGTGCATTGAATTTCTCATGAGTTTGGATATCGACTGTAAAAAATGATACAACAGCAAAAATTATAAAATAGGAAACAATTATGAATTTTATTGTTATTATTTTACAATATTCACACTTAAACAAACTTACAAAGGTTAACGAGCGTAATTAAAAATATCATCACACCTACAGAGTATAAAAAGTAAAAAATTATATTTATAAATAGTAATGCCATTGCCCTTAACAATGATGGAGTTGTACATAGACCTAACATTTTCAACCTGACCGATTCGACCAGTTAAAATTAGTATTTTGGTGAGTGATAAACAGGTCAAGTGGTTAATGGATCAACCCGTTAATCACTCGTTAAATAACGAATCATTTTAGATAAATCCGTAAAACCCGTTAACCATCCGTTATTAAAGACTTTTATGTAATTTCAATAGTCCTAAAAGAAACCCGTTAACTTAACACCCGTGTTTCTGTACGTCCTTTCTCTCTCCTCACTGTTTCTCTCTCTAGAGAAGCACAAAGCTACCAGACCCAAGATCGAAGCCATACCGAAATTGCTGGTGACCAATTCCTACCTATCGTCTTTCTGATACATAAAATTCCTTTTCTTATCTATTTTTAATTGTTTATTTATGGAACGATTATATGCAAATTCCACAGTTTAGACGATGTTATAATTTAATTGAAAGTTTGTTCGGAATTTCAGTTCCGAATTTGCTTGAAATTTTGAATGGGATATGCGAGATGGTGTGATTTGAGATATAAACCCTAAACCAAAAGACTAAGAAACCGATCATCGTGTATTCTTATTGTGTACTTCACATTGTGCAGCAGGGAAAGCCCTTCGATTTTGAATCCTTGATCTGGTTATTTCCTCTCTGGAATTCGAATTCTACTATATAAAACAGGGCTGTAATTGATTTGGATGAAATGTACAAATAAAAATAAAATAAAATAAAATAAAAATTATTAACGGAGAAAACAAATGATCCGTTAACTTAACGAGTTAAGTTTGAATGACCTGTTAAATTAACGGATCAGGTTCACAGGTTGAATCTGATCCAAACCCAATGAACCTGACCCGTTTACAAGTCTGGTTGTGCTAAAATAAAATAAGTATCATACAAAGTGTGAATAAGAACAAGTTAATTGGGTTGCCTGCTGTAACCAATTGTGGTTCCGTCAACATCTTCATTGTTAACCAACCTAATTGAGTAGAATTTCAATTCTTCAAAATTTCCCAATTTATATTTTTGATTTACCAAAAAAAATATTTGAAAACAAATTGGTAAAATTTGAAATTTGCGTCTACCCAGTTGTGCCCTCCATTAATAAACATGCGCATTTCGGCCATCTGTACACTACCAAAATTATTTTCACTAGTAATAAAAACAAAAACGAAAAAGGGAAATTTAATAACAGAGTTGGATCTTTTTTCTTTTTGTTTGAGCTTTCGGGCTAAATTTATCCGGGTCGGACTCATCTTCTCGATCATCTTGATGATCATCATCACTAGCACTACTACGTCATTCTATCTGGTTCCTTCCTGTAGCTACTCGATTTTGCTAATCCCGATACGCTTTATGACAGCGTTTCGGATGGCTTCAGTCTGCATGCACTGCCCCTTCTGCTCAATCCCCGTCATGTAGTTCCTCACCTCCTTCCTGATCATCTCCTGCATCACATCCAGGAACTCCGAGCTGAAAAACTGCTGATTGTTGTTCAAATTGCTCTGACGCGGCGGCGGCAGCAATCCTACCACCGGCGGTGGAGCTGCTACCTCATGTGGTTGCTCTACCATCTGGGTGGGACCAACAATCGGATTGGATCCGAATCCGGACCCCATATGATTCGACCCGTCACACGACTCCGACTCGGATCCGGGAAGCGAGAGGCTGAGCGAGGTGGGTGGATCAACGGCCACAGCTGATGTCGCGGCCTCCATCGGCGGCGGAGCAATGGGAGGAGGTACGGGTCTCGCAATGGGGGTGAAGACCTGAGACGAGGGAGAGACACCGCCGTGCAAGCTAGAATCGCTCAAATCGGATCCGGACGGGCTACCCGGGTTAAAATAGAGACCCGTACCCGAAACGGCACCGACGCTGGCGGATCTTTTGTGTGGCGGGTGGTCATGGACGTCGGAGCACAAATCTTCGGACATGGAGGAGCATTTGCGCTTGAGGGTGGAGTTCCAGTGGTTCTTTATGGCGTTATCGGTGCGGCCGTTGAGCAACCGGGCGATGGTGGCCCACTTGTTTCCGAACCGGGCGTGGGCCCTGATTAAGGTGTCGTCCTCTTCGGGACTGAAGGGGCGGTGCTCCACCTCCGGGGAGAGCTGGTTGCACCACCGCAGACGGCAAGACTTGCCGGATCGACCAGGAATCGACTTGCTGATCAGCGACCAGTTTCTTGGGCCGTAGATCTTGACCAGATTCTGTAACGCTTCGTCTTCCTCGGGGCTCCATGGACCCTTTATCCGATCCACCACCTTCTTTGTGGAAGCCATAGAAAACAAATCCTAAATTTTTGTCAAATTAAATAGAAATTGAAATAAAGCTCGAAAATAATGATAAATAGTATTCTAGAGGCAGGCTAGAGGGTTTAAGAAGGAGAAGAGGTGGCGGCGTTGGCGGCGGTGGAGGCGGTGGCGGAGCCTCACCTTATTCTGAGAAGAAGAAGGTGATACAGATGCGGGTGGGTATAGATATATACGAGGAAAGAGATATAGGTAACTGGGGATAGCCGGTCCGAGTAACCGGTCTGAGCCGTTGCGAGTGTGGATTTTTCCAGGCAAGGCAGTTATTAGCATACAGCTGTCAACTACCACGCGTCGCTTCCTTTTCCCTCTAACCTACACGTAGAAAATCTAATCACTCCATCTGTTTAGCCTTTTTATTTTTTTATTTATGAAAAAAAAAACAAAGGGAAAAATTAAAATAAAAGTGATTTCAAAATTATCTTCGGCTACTCTTGCCATTGCCCTACTCTTTTCACTAGAATCTTGTAAAGTCTTCTCAAATTTGAACGATAGGCTCCGAGATGATGATCAATGGTGGAGCCCCCAACGGTTCAACAACCTCCAAGTTAATGAATCTTGACTGACTTCGATGATCACCGTTTATTTGATTGATAAAAACGTAAGTTATGTTAGATGATTAAAACAGTCTGTTCTGTTCTTTGCATTCACGTTCACCTTTTTTCTAATAGTTTTAGTTTTTTTTAATATAACCGGGTAACAATGGTTATTTCGCTAGTTTTATTTTCCTTTTTTCTTTATTTAATTTGAGTTTTAAATAAATATTTAATTGGAAAACTAATGAAAATGGCTTGAAAACTTTGAGTTTTAATGATAAGGACAAAATAAAGGGTAAAGTGAATAGTATCATGATTGACTTTTTAGTGTAAAAATGTGATTTTTCGTTAAAGTTCCCATATTTAATTGAGAAACTTTAAATGAGAAGTGGGAGGTGAAGACGGTAACAGTAAACAATTGAAGATATGTCACGTCTCTAAAACCGCGGGATTTAAATGTTGAGCGGCCGTTTTGGAAGTTAAACAATGACCGGGAAGTTGCTGTTATTAGATTTTTTATTATTTTGTTTAACTTATTTTGTTAAATATACCAACAAAAATAACTTATTTTGTCAAATATTTAAATTGAAAAGTCACTTAGTTACGGTCTGGTGGTAATCAATTTTAAGGTCTTAAAATTTGATTGTCGCCAAATGAGAATTTGAATCATATTATTATTAACTCATTGTGAGGCTAAGTCACCTCCTTCATTTTAGTGTAAGTAATACTGTTTATTAAAAATATATATATTTAAATTGAACGCAATCATGGGGTTCAATATAAGGAAGACATATTTGAGTGTCGCCTTCAAACGATCATTTTTGTCAAACCCGTAATTATATAACTAAACGACAACATAATATATTATAAATTCAGACAAATCAAATAAAAAATTTATTTTATAAATGAATCACGAATATCACTTACAATTTCACGATCACGCTCAAAAACTTCTCCAGATAACATTTGTGATCTTTATCTGGAACAATAAGATCTAAAATTTTGAATTTGAAAAATGAGAAATTAGATGTTAATTAGAAAGGGAAGGGTAGGGTTTGGTTTAGTTGGGGGTGGTGGGGTTGGAATTGGATGGGAAGCGTAAGCAAACGGATGATTTTGACCAAATGCCAGGCTGGCGATTTGGCGGGCGAGAAAAAGATTTTTTCTAAGAGAGAAGGGAAACGGACGCACGGAAGTGCTGATGAGCTGACTTACGAAACGACCAAAATTAAGTAGCAGAATCGGGGGACGAAGGTATTGCAAATCTGTCCGGTCCAGCCTGTAAAATCTCAGGCCCACACTACTACAGTGGGCAGCGGCCATCTCCCTAACTGCCTACTTCTCCAACCGCCACGTGCCGGTCACGCTCCCCCCACCTGAAACTGAACTGCCATAACCGACCCCACCGTCTAACCGGCGGAATTGATTCAATTGAATGGTTTGTTGTTTGGTCCCTTCCTGGTTGCTTCATCCCTTTGGACTTTGATCTTCAAATTAATTTCAATCTGGTGGAGGTCGCCTTAGGTCTTTATAGCAACGGTGTTACATCTTTGCAACTTAATACCACATCTAATTATTAATATATAGAATGTAAAGAAATCCATCAATTAATGGTTCAAAGAAGTTAGTATGGTTTGACATTTTCAATTACCATATATAATTTGTTAGGATGTACATAAGAATTTTTATTTTATTTATAAAAGGGCACCCGTTAGTGGTTTTGCCACAGCAATCCACCATTCCGGGAGTCGAAAAGACTCACAAAAGCATTTCAACACAACGTATCAAAAGTTGAATTTATAATCTAAATTCATCAAATTTTAGGTTCGATTAACTTTGTAATAACACTGTCTTTTTCACTCAAATATTAATATAATATAATATGGAATACAAAGAAAGATTTTTGGTAGCATTGTCGCATATATCAGCTTTCTCAACACCATTGAAGAGACTAAAATACAAGGACCAAACTTTATATGAAGTTGGTTGAACATAAAACATGATCAGACGCAAAATTACAAATGTAGTTCAAAGTGTGACCAACGTTGATTACGAAAGATGTTCTTAAGCATGATTGGCCTATATGACAACTCACTCACTCACAACAATAGCAAACGAGAGCTACTAGAACTAAAATAAAACTATTATAATTTTTTGATGTTGGATCGGATGAATTGAAGAAAATCAAATGATAGAAATTAATAAAAGATATATAAGAAGTAAAAATAGATGTGTGTATAGTACATTCAAACAAATTGAGAAAAGGAGAGCAAGGAAAGCAACAAAAAAAGGGTTATTATCTCTCTAGTGAGTATTCCCCTATCTTTAACTTAACCAACATGCAAATGTCGTTACGCGGGAAACAGCTGTCAAATAAACAAATACACGTAGGCACACTGTTACCCGCACCCGCCTCCCACCTAACCCTGTCCTTTAGCCGTACTCCTCACGCGACTTCCACTGCCACACGAGTGTACCTCACGTGAGGTACGCAGCCCCACACGCCGAAGGTAATGGTGAAGTCATCACCTGCCCAAGGTGCTAATGGGCGCCTAATTAATCTTGAAGCCACTAATATACTGCAACTTGCAATGCCAATGGGTTTTGCCTTTTTATTTTTTATTTTGTTTTACCAAATACATTTCTACTTGTTATGGTAATAATTATGTTTTGTGCCATTAAGTACAATTATAGTACAACCTTAAATATTTTAGGATGTGTTTTACCTTGCTATTTAGTAATTGAGTTTCCTTAGCTCATGTCATAGTGGCATGGTTCCAATTGCTCTAAGCGGGGAAGTAGACTGCGTTGGCAGTTGCAGTCCGGATCTTGATATGTAGTATGTCTCACCTAATCCTCTATGACATTGACTAAATTTTTTTCCTATTTGTATTGGTTTTCCTTAATTATATATATAATCAAACGTTTAGTGTTATCATTATATTGAGAATCCCAAATTGAATAATGCTAATAATTTATTTATAATGGAAGTAGAATTTTTATTTTTTTTTATACTAGGCCTTTTGTTAAAAGGAAAATTAATTTGTGTTTTTATTGGAAAATAGAAACATGTGGCTTAGTTTGTTAAGAATTTTTACTCCTGTCCAGTATCTAAAGTTTCGAGTTTACTTTATCACTTGTATTTTTTTTTTTTAACAAAAAATAGTATCTATACTAAGAGGTGAGGAAGTGGGTCAAGTTTCACAATGGGTTAGCTAGAATAATGTGGTTCAACACCTCATTTGGTGAGAATTAAACCTAAAACCTCTCACTTACAAGTGAAAAGAAATATCACTAAATCATAGTACTAAGTGATACTTGATTACTTGTATTGAAAAAGAAAAAAAAAATTAAAAAGCAAAAGAATAAGGGACCATTGGCCGATATTAGAGAACATGGCGGATGGAAGAATTATCCCAAAACGTGGGCACACTAGTGGATAGCATAGCATGGGTTTTTACAAGCAATACCTTCTCCCTTCCCCAATGGGTTTAATATGTCTGTCTGTGGGACAAATGTGGCAGGGCCGCAGCCAGTCCTTTCTTTCTCATAAGCTGTATCCAAGGAAGAAAATATCGGTAATATCGGAAATATCAGTAGTCCGAAAACACGGAAATATCGATGGAAATATCGGGATAATATCGATATCGATAAAAATTACATGGAAACCACTGAAATTGTAAGAAAAACTTGGAAATTTTTATTGAAACTTTACAGGATGTTTATTTAGTCAATTATCTATTAATTTATCATAAAAATTTGGAAGGAAATGCATTGCATGATGGATTTAACTGATTTAAGTTGATTATATAGCGAGCTGGCAAACATTGTGAGTGTAGAAAATATATAATAATTAATGAAAGAAGTTTAAACACACCATAATCGTTTATATATAATGAATTAGTACAATATTTTACACTTTATACATTGCATGGTAAGATACATGAGTGACTAAGTACCACATAGAGTTCCTATGAGGTTCAAAATTTTCACTATCTTCATCATCACTATGTGTAGAGTAAGTGTATTGTGAAGAGTAGTCAACAACCATAGCAATGGCTTTCAAGAACCGAAACCCAAAAGTCAATAGGAAACCAAATACTTCGGTATTTTTCGGGATTTTAGGATTACCAAACAAATGGGATTTGGAAACCAATCCCATATCGAAAATTTCGGTATTTTTCGGGATGGTTTTGGTTTGGGACTTTTTCGGTTTGGTTTGGGATTTTCGGGAATTTTTTTCCAATCATACATGTAAGTGACCAAATAAAAAATAGAAAAAATTAAAAACCACATGTCATTGACTAAGTAATTAATTGACACAATTTAAAATATAATACCACAAAAAATTTGGAATATGTGCAAATTTGTTTCTTGCAAAAAGAATTCAAAACAAAACCATATATATAAATAGTTTAGCATGTTTTCATAAAAACGTAAGTGGTATGGTGGTCAACTCGCCGAAGGAGTTAGATGGGAGGGGTTTGAACCCCTTTATGTGCATGTTTGAGACTTTTCAGAAATTTTTCAAATATTTTTAGGTTCATATCGCGATATTATATATAATATCGCGATAATATTCATAAT